TTGCCGTCGTAGATTGCATTTCCAGTCTTCCTCCTCTCAGTCTAATTCCTTCCAAATTGTTGGATGTATTTGTAGAAACTTAATGAAGGCAGGTACGGATGTCGCTATACTATCGCTGTTGTCCCCCTCATCAGCGAAAACCCATAGCGACATCGTCTTAGAAAAGTCGCTTATATGACCCATCCTCGCTATGCAGCCGCAGCATCGCAATCGTAGTTGCCTTGGCATTGTGTAAATGCTAAAATGTCCAGTCTTTTAAGAAGTCATATATCGTGAAGCCGGTTTTACGAACTCTGCTTCAGTATTCTTCTTAGGAATCTGAGGTAGAAGTGATTGAGTTAGCATCGACGGTCCAGATCTCCATCTCCTGTAGTGGCGTTTTGCAGAATACCAACCTGCGTTTTTCGATTCCTTGCGGCCAGCTTATAGCCTCTTTGGCTTTTGAGATCCGCTAGACACCTTCGCCGAAGAAAAGGCGATCTTTGAGGGAGGATATATGTCGATTTATTGGTGTACGGGACTCCTGGACCACCGTCAGTCTCCGTAAAAAATAAATGTAATGCAATGAAATCTCCGAAAATCGCTAACGTCCGCCTAGAACAACAGCGGCAAAGCCGTTCCTTATAAAAATAGATATATCAAAATTTCAGGGTGTGGTACGGTAGCACACCCTTATCAAATTTCCTCCATTCAGAGGGTAAATTAGTGTCCAGGAAACATTAATTGTGTGAGCAAGTGTTCGCTTTTAAGGGGATTGCTACCCTATTTATAATTTTAAATATAATTTTGTGGAGAATAAATACATGCTTATGGCTCATAATTAGTTCTCTTATCATGTAATATCACATAGGAATGTCGGCGATTCAAGAGTTGCTGACCCTGACTCAAAACTCACATCTACTCATAGTAGTCTTTCTTTTCCCCATATTTACGGGCAAAAAAGCATATAACAGGTTCTATTCAGTAATCAAATCGTGAGAAGATCATAAGTAAATCCTGCTGCGTTAAGTAGGTTATTGAGTTGTCCCCGATATTTTTTCTATTTAGGTCATTGACTTCCCCTTCTTTGTGTAATAAAATGGTCTAGATGCCCTAGAATCGTCATTTTATTATTTTAGTTTTATAAAGTTTTATTTCCTTAGCGGATATTTTGCCAGGAATATAAAAAAGTGGTGACCTCATTATTTTGTTTTACTCACCCAATGCTCTATCTGATAAGGCCACTCCGCTCAACACAACTGCGATCCACCCACAACAGGTATGTGAGATGGTATGATCTTTAAACCTGTTTTAAAATAAATGCAATAGGAAAACGAGAATAGAAGTCTACGGAGAATCAAATTTTCAAAATGATCATTTTAGGGGAGCTTTTGAGTTAAGAATAAAACGCATGCGCTAATTTTATTATTTATTCTCTCTCTGTCTAGAGAGAGCTCTCTATATCACTATATATACCTATATATGCGTATCTAAAAGGTACGATTACTTACGTTAAACAGGTGGGTAAATAATGTCAGAAGCCATCATACACGTTTACACTTTCGGTCTAGGCCTATCACTGTCAGCACAAGGCCCGTCCGGCCCCGTCGAAATTCCGGGGCCAGGCGGGGCTACCCAGGGCTATCCGGGGCCAACAGTGAACTAAATTTATTGTTAAAATTTTTAGAGATATATTTTTTGTGAAAATAGTATCAATCACCATTATTTTGCGTCTTCTTCTGTGATAAAAAAATTAAATCAGGAGGTAAAAACGGGAAAACGGGAACGCACGCCGCGAAAATATTTTCCGTAGGCGGGGCTTAACGGGTTGAAATTTCCGTTCTCTGGCCGCGTCGAATTCAATGGCACAAGGATGGACCAGGTGATGGGGATTTCAATCCGTTAAGTCCCACTTCCGGAAAATATTTTCGCAGCGTGCGTCCTCGTTTTAATCCCCAATTCGATTCTTTTATCAAAGAAGAAGACGCAAAAGGAGAGTTATTGGTACTTTTTCCCAAAAATAATTAATTTCGAAAAAATGCCATAATAAAATTAAGTTCACCGTTGACCTGGATAGCCCCGGATTGCCCCAACCTGGTCCCGGAATTTCGACGGGCCCAGGCGGGTTAGTGCTCTCAGGGAATCTAATCATTCCATACATTTAACAAAATTTTATACATAATCGTCGGCACAGTTTGTCTACAAATTGTATCAACTCACGTCAAAGGCCGCGCTCAGATTGTTGATTTCTTCTTGCTGAATTAGTCGGCCCGGCGCAGGCCGAGGTGAAGGCTGCACATTACTGGGCTTACAAACTGCAGGAAGCACTTGCCCTGAGGTGAGCGAAGTCTTTCGCTCCGAAGTACAATTCCGTCTCGGAGAACAATTTCATGTTGTGTTGCTATCCTGCTCTCGTTTTTTACACTTCTAACATTAGAAGTACTTTACGTTATATAGCGTTCGTTTATGTCGCGATTGACTGAATACCTCTTCAATTGTGTACTACTGTACCATACAAGTTAGTTGCTTTTCAAAGACTCAGTAACCCATCCCGATTCATAGCGTGTGTGGTCGAGCTACAAAAGATTCACCCGTACCTATGCTTATTTTTAAGGGACTTTCGGGTACTTCACAACTGCGAAACAGGCAACTCTATTATCAGACGAATATCCACCAAGTAACCGTTTAAATTAAGCTTATTTAAATATATATAGTTCATTCAGCAAGGTAGTAATTAATAATTAGGTGTGCCTTACATGCCTTGGGATTAAAAATAATGAATACTCAGCGCTCAGACAACCTTAATAAATGTTCAGTGCTGTCTTCCTTGCTCTGTTGCTTTTGAAGACATGTATAGCAACAGTGGGGTGGAAAAAAGATCGACGTGCACAACAAAATACCATATTTTCACTTGAAAACCATCCAGTTTGTTGTAAGTGTGGAATAAACAAGCCAATGCAAGGGAAAGTATAGAATATTTGGTACAATGCACAGACTTTTGCTATTTGTTACTCCTACTTTTAAAATAAGAAGACTTTTGCTTTTGGGAATGGTTTAGTTAAATGCACTGGGTAGTTAAGTTTGTCGCATTACCTCTCTTGCGCCTTCCTAGGAAGAAAAATAGATGAATTATGATAATTAAGCCACCGCTCCTTACATGCATCGATATCATTGACAGTCCGTCAGATTAATTAGAAATAAAACTTGTCACCAGTTACCTGGCAGTATGTTTTACCACGCTAGCGGGAACATATCAGGTGTGGATACCTCAACGGAGTATGCAGGGTTACTTTGGCATTTCAGTCACAAGAAGCCAGTGCCTGAAATGCAAACCGCATCGACTGCGCGTAATAAAAACCCTACTAGTTTTTGATACACATCAGAACAAGTAACCGTATCCAAATTATCACTGCATACATATCAGATTTGTGATACTAAAAGCATCTTTGTTACCCATAATTTTATAGTTCTCATTTTCAGTTCATAAGATGTCT